TCGGTGCCATGCCTGCACTGAGTGCGTCGTCACTTTGCCGCCCTTCCCTGTGCTTCCCCCTCGCTCCCTTTCTGACACGGGGATCCCCCCCCCCCCCCCCCCCCCCGTCATGCGTGCGTGCGCCCGCTCACCCACCCGCCCATCCACCCGAAGGGTCACTCGCGACATGTCCAAGCAGTTCTGCCCCCGTTGCGGACACCCGACCCTCATGCGCGCGGCCAGTTCCACGTGCGCCATCACCGGCGAGCTGACCGTCTACCTGCGGGCCAACTTCCAGTACCGGCTCCGGGGCACGCGCTACTCTCGTGCGGCTCCCCGTGGTGGCCATCACCACAAGGCCCGGAATCTCATTCTCGCCGGTGATCAGAAGGAGTATCGGACGGCGGTGCGCGAGCTGCGCTCGGCTCAGCGCCAGGCCGCTCGCCAGTCTGGCGCCAATGACCTCAGCAACCCGGATTACATGCCGTCCATCATGACTGGCGCCAGTGGCCGGACCCTGGCCGGTGCCTCCGGCAATGTGACCATCGGCATGGGTCGCCGGAACCCGAACCAGGCTCGACGCCTGCTCGGCAAGAAGAAGAAGCACTAAGTGTGTGTGTGTGTGTGTATGCATTTGTGCCCATGCATCTCGCATTACGGGACGTGCGTGTTGTGCACCTTCAGACACAGTGGGTCCGGAGGCCGTCCATCTGGGCACCCCCCCCCCCTCTCGCCCACACGCACATAGGCCCATATGTGCGTGTGTCCTCTCGACCAGATCCGGCCCATTGTGGGCCCTGCTCGATCTACACCAGGCCAGCCTGATCGGCGGAGGGGGGCAAAGAAGGCCGAAGAGGCGAACGCCGCCTTTCTCCCCTGCCTCCACATGCGCAGATGCACCTCCACACAGTGCAACCAATACATCATAACTTTGACCACCTCCCTCCAGCGTTGCTCTGCCCCCCCCCCCCCCCCCCCCCCCCCCCTTGCTTGTGGGACCAGATCCTGCCCTTTCGCTCGGTATGTGCCTGACCCCGGCCGCGTGTCTCGGGCGGAGGGAGTGATGGGGGGGGGCCTCGAGCACGGCCGACGGAAGCACGCGCGGGGTGCGTCGGGAGCAGAGAACAACGGAGGGCGGTGCCATGCTGCCGCGGCGGTTGTCGGAATTTGGCGTTGTTTGCACGTGATAACAAACATTTGAGAACTTCCGCGTGGTTGTCGGGTACTTGAGCAAAAACCCTCCCTCCTGGGCGGGGAGGGTTGCTGGTGTCCTGCGCGCGCCGGGCTGGGAGGCCAGCCCGGCGCACATGGTCGCGTCTGGAGTTCAGCTCTCCCTCGCTCTCCCTCACTCTCTTTCACTCTGAGTACGTGCACGCGCGCGGAGAGGGGGAAACCGCGGCCACGCTGGGCCGGGGCGGCCGCGTCGCGAGGCGTCGCGTGGCGGCCACGACGGCAGGGGGGCGGGCGGTGGTGGACGGCGGCGGCGCGCGGCCGGGCGCACCTGCCCTGTGTCCCTCTGCCTGGCTCCCCCCCCCCCCTTCTTTCTACCAGCCGGTTCCTCCCCACCGAGGCCCGAGAGATCTGGCGGGAGGGGGGGGGGGGGGGGGGGCAGGGAGAGAGAGAGAGGGGGATTTTTGGGCGCCAGCGGTTCCGCCCGCCGCCCTGTCGAGGGGCCTTCAAGATCCGGCATCTGGCATCGCCCCTCTCCCCCTTCCTCCTGCCGCCTCTCTCCTCCGCCCCCTGCTCCTCCTTCCCCTGCCCCCTTGCCGCTGCCTGTGCTCGCTCGCTCGCTCGCTCGCCGTTCGTCGCTCGGCCATTTGCCACCCACCTTCCCGAGACCGCCGCCCTGCCCACGCAGCATGCCCTCTGCCGCCGAGATCCCGCTTCCCTGCCCGGCGTCCCGGGCGCCGGCCATTCAGGGCGCGCCCCGCGACCAGGAGATCCCGTCCCAGTCCAGCGAGTACCTGACTGTACGCCCTGATGTCCCTTTCTTGCCCATGCGCCCCGTCGGGCCCTTCGAAAGGACGCCCAAGAGAGCGGCTTTCCCTCACTCCCGGCTGCCATCCTCCGCCGCCGCCCCGCCTCCCCCCCCCCCCTGCTGACCGCTCTCCAATGCTCGCCTGTGTCCTTGCCCTGTCCATATGTAGCATCTTGTCCGCCCGCACATCGACTCGTTCAACTTCTTTATGGACAATCTCCAGACGGCCGTGAATCTGATCGACGCACGCACGGTGTCCGATGCCCGTGGCAACCGCCTGCGCTTCTGGTTCAGCGACGTGACCGTGTCCCGGCCGCAGCCGGCCGAGCGTGACCAGGTGGGCTTCCAGGACCAGCGGCGCTGGCTCTTCCCGGCGGAGTGCCGCGCGCGCGGGACCTCCTACCGCGGCCGCCTGCAGGGAACCATCTCCTTCAGCGTGAATGACGGCCCCATCCAGACGATCAGCCGCAACCTTGGCGGTCTGCCGGTCATGCTCCGGTCTAATCGGTGCAACCTCGAGCGCATGACCCCGCGCGAGCTGGTCGACCGCCATGAGGATGCCGACGAGATGGGTGGTGTCTTCATTGTCAACGGTCTGGAGAAGCTCCTCCGTCAGATTATTGTCCCGCGCCGGAATCACGTTCGTGCCTTGCGCTTTTTGCTCTGCCCCCCTCCCCCCCCCCTCCTCCCCTTCCTTCTTCTCCCCCTCCCCTGCCGCCCGCTCCTCACCATGGTCCTGTGACCCCCTCTTGCCCTCGGGTCTGTGCGGCTTTTTCCACAGGTGCTCGCCATCACCCGGCCGTCCTTCCACAAGCGTGGCCCGAGCTACTCCAACTTCGGTGCGCAGATCCGCTCCGTCCGCCCGGACCAGTCGGCGCACACGATCACCGTGCACTACCTGACGCACGGTGACTTCACCGTGCGCTTCTCCTTCCTCAAGCGCGAGTACATCCTCCCGGCGTACTTGGTGATCAAGGTGCGCGCACTCCACCTGCCGGCATTTCTCCTCCTTGGGTCTCTCTGTCTCTCGCTTAGACACACGCGCATACACGCACACACACACACACACACACACATGCATGCATGCATGCACACGCTAACTCCCCCGGTCGTTCATCGTTGCCACCGCCACCGGGGCTTCGTGCGCATATCGAAATCCATCCGCGCCCCCTAGTGCCTCGTGGACATCACCGACCAGGAGATCTTCGACACCATCACCCGGCGCAGCACCAACAACACTTTCCTCTCGGACCGCGTGGAGTCCATGATCCGCAGTGGCAAGCGCTTTGCGGTGTACACCCGCGAGCAGGCGCTGGCCTTCCTCGGGTCGAAGTTCCGTGTTGTCATGCGTGCTGACGACCACCTGACCAATGCCCAGGTTGGTTCCAAGCTCCTGGCCGACATCCTCTTCGTGCATCTGGACACCCCGCGCGAGAAGTTCCACCTGCTGGTGTTCATGATCCAGAAGCTGGTGTCCCTGGTGGCCGGCGACACGAGCCCCGACAATCCGGACTCCCTGAACAACCACGAGGTCCTGATGCCGGGACACCTGCTGATGATGTTCCTCAAGGAGAAGCTGGCCGAGCAGCTGTCCAACTACCTGGCCCAGATTGCCCAGGACCAGCGCCGTGCTGGGCGCGGCCATGCGCCGGACTTCTCCAACGGCGACTACTTCAATGCCCTGATGGGTCGAGTCCCGAGCGACATCGGCCGCAAGGTGGAGTACCTCCTGTCCACGGGCAACCTGGTGTCGCACACTGGCCTGGACCTGCAGCAGGTGTCTGGCTATGCCATTGTGGCCGAGCGGCTGAACTACATGCGCTACATCTCCCACTTCCGGTCCATTCATCGTGGTGCTTTCTTCGCGGAGCTTCGTACCACCTCCGTGCGGCGTCTGCTGCCCGAGTCGTGGGGTGCGTCCGGCGGCCATGGCGGTGGCCTTCCTCCTTGTCCCTCCGCCTCCTTCCTCCACTCTTCTCTTCTTCTTTTTTCCTCAGTTTCTGACATGCTACCCCGCCCGCCCCCCCCCCCCCTCCCCTCGCTTGTCCTGCCTCTATGAAGGCTTCCTCTGTCCGGTCCACACCCCCGATGGTGCCCCCTGTGGTCTGCTGAACCACATGACCCACTCCTGCCGGGTTGTCAGTGTCAAGGGCGATGTGACCGGCCTGCCGGAGCTCCTGAACTCCCTCGGCATGTCGCCAAACCAGTCGCCTGCCTCGGTGCCGCCGAGCTATTTGACGGTCTTCCTGGATGGCAAGGTGATTGGCTACTGCCCGGAGGAGGTGGCCGCCTCGATCGCCGGGGACCTGCGCGTCTACAAGAGCAAGGGCCACCCGGCCACGCCGGAGTCCCTGGAGGTGGCCTTCATCCCGGCTCTCGAGTGTGGGCCCTTCCCCGGTTTGTACCTCTTCTCGACTCCGGCGCGCTTCATGCGCCCGGTTCGTCACCTGGGCACGAACACCGTGGAGCTGATTGGCTCCTTGGAGCAGGTGCGTTTTGAGCGGCGGCAGGGGGGGGGGGGGGGGGGCTCTTTGCCTTGGCGCTTGCTCTTTGCCCTTTGTCCCCTCTCTCTCTCCACTGACGATTGACACATGTGAACACCCCTCCTCACACCGCCCCTGTGCAGGTCTTCATGAACATTGCCTGCGTCAACTCCGACATCAGCCCCGGCCTGACCACCCACTTGGAGCTGGAGCCCACCAACATGCTGTCGGTGGTGGCCAACTTCACTCCCTTCTCGGACTTCAACCAGTCCCCGCGTAACATGTACCAATGCCAGGTGCGTGTGCTCGGCCGGGCGCACCCTCCGCGGCATGCTCCGCTCGCTTCTCGCTTCTTCCTCTCCCCCGATCTAATGCCCACACGTCCATCGTTCTCCCCCTCCCCTCGGCCGCCCATAGATGGCCAAGCAGTCGATGGGCACGCCGATCCATGCGTTCCCCTACCGCGCCGACAACAAGCTCTACCGCCTGATGTTCCCGCAGTCGCCGATTGTCCGCCCTCGCCTGGCTGAGCAGTATGGCTTCGACAACTACCCGAACGGCACGAATGCCGTCATCGCGGTCATCTCCTACACCGGCTACGACATGGAGGATGCCATGATCCTCAACAAGATGGCCTTCGAGCGTGGCTTCCAGCAGGGCTACATTTACCAGACCCTGCGCCTGGACTTGGTGAAGGATCACCACTCGGAGCATCCGCTGCGCTTTGGCGTGGTCAACCCCCGCCAGGCTGGCAACACCATTGACACCGATGGTCTTCCGTATGTTCTGTCCCCCCTCCCCCCTCTTCCTTGCATGGCCGTATCCTCCGACCCCTGCCGGGCCGGGTCCTCCCTTGCTAACTTGCCTTTCGTGTCTCCTCTTCCTCTCTCCCTCTCTCCCTCTCTCCCTCTCTCCCTTCGCGTCCTCGCTCGCGCAGCCACGTCGGCACCCTCCTCAACTCCGGGGCGCCGCTTTATTGCTATGTGGACACGGTCACCGGGCGCCAGTTTGTCGAGCGCTACAAGAACCTGGATACCGCCTTCGTGGAGTCCGTGCGCCTGGTGGCCGCGGAGTCCGGCGATTCGGGCGGCCTGACACAGGCCGTCATCGTCCTGCGTGTGCCCCGGACGCCGCTCATCGGTGACAAGTTCTCCTCGCGCCACGGGCAGAAGGGTGTCTGCTCGCGGATTTACCCCACCGCGGACATGCCCTTCACCGAGTATGGCATGACGCCGGATATCATCATCAACCCCAATGCCTTCCCCTCGCGTATGACCATCGGTATGCTTATCGAGACCATGGCCGCCAAGTCCGGCGCCCTGCATGGGGCCTTCACCGACGCCACGCCCTTCCGGTTCTCGGAGAAGCACCGCGCGGTGGACTTCTTCGCCGAGCAGCTCAAGGCCGCCGGCTTCAACTACTATGGCAACGAGCCGGTCTATTCCGGCCACAGCGGCCAGGAGATGCGTGTGGACATCTTCTTCGGCATTGTCTACTACCAGCGTCTGCGTCACATGGTGAACGACAAGTTCCAGGTCCGTACTACGGGCCCGGTGGACCCGCTCACCCAGCAGCCGGTCAAGGGTCGCAAGCGCGCCGGTGGTATCCGCTTCGGCGAGATGGAGCGCGATTCGCTGCTTGGCCACGGTGTGTCCTTCACTCTGCTGGACCGCCTGATGAACTGCTCGGATTACTCCCTGTCGCATGTGTGCGTCAAGTGCGGGTCCATGCTGAGCCCGACCACGGTCCCGGCGCCGACCGCCGTGGGTTCCGGCCCGGTCACCCTTGCCACGGCTGCCCGGTCCCTCACCTGTCGCAACTGTGACACCGGCGATGTACGTTGCTCTTTGGCGGGGTTTCTTTCCAAACACCATATGGCGGCCAGCTCAAGGGGGGGGGGGGGGGGGGGGAGCTGACCACAAAACAGCCCGGCTTCCTGGCATTTTTCTTCCTCCTCCACGCATCTTGGCTAACATTCATCTCTTGCTGGCCCTTGCCCTGCCACCGGCCACTGTGCCACTCTTGTGCCCCCGCACACAGCACATCGAGCTCCTCACCATGCCGTATGTGTTCCGGTACCTGACCAACGAGCTGCTGGCCATGAACATCAAGCTCACCCTCACTGTCCAGTAAGGGCGAGCTCCCTCGGAGAGCCGGGATATGGACGCCGATGTGTGGAGGCATATTTTGCCCATCATGCTATGCATGCCCCTCTGCCCGCCCGTGCTCCTCTCCCCTTCCTCTCGCACCTCCCCTCATCCGGCCAACACACGGTGCTGTGCCCCTCTCTCCCCCCCCCCTCCCCCATCTCTTGTCGTGTCGCGTGCCTCCCCTCCCCCCCCTTGCGTGCATTCTCCTCCTCTGGGGGGGCGGAGCAGCGCGTACGCGCACACACCCTTCCTCTTCCCCCCGACAAATATAATCCCATAGATCCAAGTCTCCGCCTCACGGACTTGCGCGCCACTGTCTTCTTTTTTTTCTCCTTTTTTTCCTCTCCCCCCAGCACGCATACACACCTGCATATGGGCGCACGCACATTTCAGGACCGGAGCCCCCATCCTGGGAGGTTCGACCCGCTTGTCGACCATGCTGATCCCAAGTCCCAACGCACGCCGGGGCTTTTCAGCTCCTTTCCCCCACCCTCGTCTAGCTCCGCCGGGGAGAGGGAGACCCCCTCCGCCCCCGCCCCCTCGCATGCCGGAAGGGGGTTGTGGATGAATCTAGCCAACCCGATCGGGGAGGGAAGGGGCCGAGGGGGGGAGCGCGGGGACCCATTTCCCCCCAGCCAGCGGTCCCCTCCCCCGATGTTGGCGGCGATCTTTCTATCACCTTCTCTCGGCCCTGGCTCTCGGGTGTGGGTGCCGAGGGTGGGCGACCGGAAAAAGGAGGCCCCGCCCGGGGACCCACCCTCAAGCGCGGGTCCCCTTCACTCGAGGCAACTCGCTTCTCCCCCAACCCCTGCTGCCTCTTCCCTCCCCCTCCCTCCTCTCTCGCTCTCTCTCTCTCTCTGCGTGTGTTTGCGCGCACACGCGTACATCCACAAAACCCATGTATTCCGCTAAGCAGCTCGTTCTTGCCTGCTCGGCGGCCATCGCCGCCTCCGCCACTCTGACAGCCACCCTGCTCGGCACCGGGGTCCCCACCTCCAGCATGAGCAACTTCTGGGGTGGCGGTGCCAAGAGCGAGAATGTGGCGGCCGCACCTCCGGCTGACGTGGTGGCCAGTCTGCCCCCGGCCTCTGGGGATGCTTCTCCGGCTGCCGGCGGCCCGGCTCGGCCGGCTTACACCCAGCAGCAGATGCAGGATCTTTTGCGGCTCCCGATGCAGGCCAGCCAGGCCGCTGACCATCCGGTGCTCGGCCTCATTGGCCAGTATGGCCTCCAGGGGTCCGAGCAGCTCATTGACCGGGAGAACTACCTCGTGCTGTTCAACCGCCGGACTCGCACCCCGACCTGGACTCTGCACCACATCAACCAGGAGTATCTCCACAATGCCAAGGCCAAGCGTCCGGCCACCTTCAATGGGGACCCAGAGCTGTCGCCTCTCTTCCGTGTGGAGCACCGCCACTATGGCGGCTTCCCGGATCTCAACCGCGGGCACATGGTCCCAGCCGGCGATCGCCACAGCGACCAAGATGGTATGTAGTGCCCTTTTGACACTCCCCTTGCTCCAGGCGGCTGACCACGGCCCTGATGTCGCGCCAAATGCCACTGCTCTGACCCTCTGCTGCTTCTGGTGCTGCTCTTGCTACCAATGCTGCTCCCTTTGCTCCTGCTCTTGTCTCTTCCGCTTCCCCATTACCCACCCCCAGAGAAGGACAGCACTTTCTTCATGAGCAATGTCGTCCCGCAGAACCGCTCCAACAACAGCGGATACTGGGGCAGCATCGAGGCTTTCATCCGGCGCCTGGTCACCAGCCAGGCCTACCAGGATGTCATTATGTATACCGGACCGGTGTATGCTCCGCGCTCGGTGGCCGATGAGCGTGGTGCCGCCAAGGGCACCACCGGCCCCCGGCAGGAGGGCACCCACACCTCGGTCGAGTATCTGCTGATCAACAGCAAGCAGCCGACCGTCGGCGTGCCGACCCACCTCTTCAAGGTGATCCTGGCCACCAACCCCAAGGGCTCCGGCCGGAAGCAGCTCTCTTTGACGGGTGCGCCTCTTGGAGCGGTGTCCCTGTGCCGGCCCTCGCCCTGCCGCCTGCCGCCCTTTTGCCTCTGGCTTGTGTAGCTAACCTATCACGATCAACCTGTGCAGCCTTTCTCGTCCCCAACGCCCCGATCGATGCCGCCGTGCCGCTGACCAATTTCGAGGTCCCGGTGGAGGAGATTGAGCGCCTCACCGGGGTCGTGTTCTTCCCGGAGGTACGCACGCCGGCACACGCCCCCCTGCAGAAATATGTCCAGACGCGCATGCCCCCACATTGAGGCCCTGCATCCATGAGGGAGGCGGGGGATCACCCTTCCGCATTACTGACACGCCCGGCCACACTGGCAGCTCAATCGCCGGAGCACGACCAACCTTTGCAAGGATGTCCCCTGCATTCTGCAGAAGTAAACCACACTGCGGCCCCTCGAGAGGCCCAAGCACACCCGCTCACACCCACACACGTCAGAAGGCCGTCCCTGCTGCCTTGCTGTTCTCCCATGATAGACAAGTTATGCCCCTGTAGGGTGTTTCACCTCTCCTCCTCCTCTTGTTCCATTTTTCCGTGTCCTTTTCTTCTTCCTTCTTTTTTCCCCCTGCCCACGCTGGTCACACCCGAGCTTTGGCATCTTCCCAAGTGTAAATGCTCTTCAAGCGCCATTGATCTAAGGGGGGGTGTATTTCTCTCACAGCCAGGGCAACATGAAACTGTATCAAAGGGTCTCAAGGACAGGCAACGTAGGTGAGATGGGAGGGGGGGGGGGAGACACCAATTGACGGGGTGGCTTGGTGGGGCCCCCAGGGAAGGTGGATGCTCTTGGCGTGCTCGCGGCCGGTGACCAGGAACACTTCTCTAAGCCGCAAGCGAAAGTGTCGTCTCGGGGGTGGCATTGCCCTGGGCAGCCGGCGAGACGGCCACGCCTTCGAGGCCAGCCTCGGGCGAAGGGGACGCAACGGCTGTTTGGGCGCCTGTCCGGTCGAGCGCCCACGCGGCCAGACGAAGCTTCAAAAGGCGCTGTTGGAGACGAGCCCATGGCCCGAGGAGGCTCGATTCGCGAAGAATGCGCTCCTCGGCCTGGCGGAGAGCCGCACGCCGGGCGGCGGCAATGCCAAAGTCCGTGTCGTCGTCCGCCGAGTCGCCCAGGTCGAAGTAAGGATCCGTCACCCGGGCCAATTCCTCGAGGGTCAAGCGGCCGCCAAAGCCAAAGAGATCCAGCTTGGCATCGGCCGGGCTGACCCCGGCCGGCAGGAGGGACTCCGGCTTGGGGATCGCCAGGGACAGGTCCGGCGGCGAGGACTCATGGCGGTAGGCGGTCTGCGCGCAGAAGCGCGTCATTTGCAGCATGGTCGAAAGGCCATCATCACGCTGGAGGTCCATCACAACATGGCGAACCAGGTCATTGGACTTGATGACCATGATCAGCTCGCGGGGGATGCGCTGCATGATCGAGAAAATGTCCAAGATAAACCCTTCAAGGGATTTGCGGATGGCAATGACCTCCACATTTGTCCGGTCGATGAATACATGCTGCGAGTTGGGAGCCGCCGGCTTGTTGTCGTGGTACACCACGCGGCCGTCCTCGTCGACGATGAACTCGTTGCCCACCACCATGTCCCACGGCCGAGCGGTGATGATGCTGGCAAAGAGCCGGTACAGCTGGGGCCCGGCACCGAGGCGCGCGCTGGCCCGCTTGACCGCCAGCTCATCCTGGTCCAGGATGCCCAGCCACAGGCGCGAATAGTCCAGCTGGAAGTTCTCCGACAGCTCGCGGTACAAGCCGTGATCCAGGAGCACCAAGTCGAAGTCCCGGTCGGCCGCGGCGGCCGCCTCGGCCGCGTCGGTGGTCCCCTGCGGGACCAGTCTCCCGAGGCCCATGGCCCGCATGGAGCGCGCCCACCAGGGCAGATGCGGCCCGATGGCGTCGACTCCGGCCGGCTTGGGGCGGGGGTTGATCAGGACATTTCCCGGGTGCATGTCAGCATGCAGGAGCCCAGCCTCAAAAACCATGTGTCCAAAAAGGTGTGAGAAGGCCGCCGCCACGCGCTGGGGGCTGATGTTATTGGCTTCGAGGAAGGCGGTGTCCTTCATCTGCCGATGCGGGGGTGGGGGGAGGTGTGTGAGAGAGAGAGAGAAAACACGTCAGAAAGCGCCAGCGTCTTGGAGGAAACATGGAGAGATAGCCGAAGGGAGGGAGGAGGATGGAGGCGGTGTAGATGCAAAATGGGCGAAGGCGCGTCACACAGGAATGGAATCAGGGCACAAACCTTCTTGCCCTCGGCAAACTCCATCACCAGCACGCGAGGGGTGGTCATGGACCAGTGGATTTCCGGAACAATTAGTCCCACACGCGGATCACCAGTGGCATGGACTGCGGACAATTGGCCGCTCGAGTCCGGACGCGAGGCGAAGGCCTTGCGAGCGCGGTCCGCATTAAGGGCTTCCTGTGAGGCGAGGTAAGGCCGTGCATCGAGGGGGGGGGGGGGGGCACGGCACGGTACGGCACGGCACGGCACAATCAACAGGGAAGGATAAACCACAACGTGTCAGATACAAGGGAAGGCGAGGGAGGGGGGGGGGAGGGGGGGAATCCGGAAGACCGAGGATGGCGAGCGCGCAAAAACGCACATGCACGAAGTCCAGCTCGCGGGGCAAATTCAGCTGGATCTCACTCAGCAGCCATTGGAGGCTGTAGCCAGGGAGGAACTTGTCGAAGAGGGTCGAACAGAGTTCCAAAATGCGCAGGTCCACCGGGAGGTCGTCGAGGAGGCGCGGATGCTGGACCTTTACGGCCACCTCGCGACCATCCCACAAAACCGCCCGGTGGACCTGGGCCAGGGAAGCCGCACCGACCGGATCCAGATCGAAGGACTGGAAGGCCTGCTGGATGGGCATGCCGAGCTCGGTCTCCAGCACACGGATGACTTCCTCCGGGGTGGTGCGCGGCGCGGCATCCTGGAACTCCACCATGGCGCTGGTGATTTCCTCCGGCAGGAGGTACTCCAGGGAAGCAGCATGCTGGGCCACCTTGACGAAAACCCCGGCGAACTGCCGGATGTACCACGCGACCAGGGTCGCGGCGAAGGTATGCGCCCGGGACCAGGCCGCTTCGTCTTGCTTGTCGTCGCGCAGCTCCCACAAGTACCGGCTCAGGGAGGCCACGGTCAGGGCGAAGGCAAGGACAAAGCGCTGGCTGGCGCGCACGCACCAGCGGCCCGAGTCCGACAGGAGGGCCCCGGTCCCGAGGACCAAAAGGCCAGCACGCAGCAAACCGCGCGGCGTGCGGAGCGAGGCCAGGATCCGGCTTTTGGTGGCCATCTTGGCAGCGGCCGCCGCGGGCTGGGACGAAGCAGCCGCCGTGGCCGTGGCCGTGGCCGTGGCCGTGGCCAGGGGTTTGGGGACACTGGCGGCGGTGGCCACGGTGGAAGCACCGGCACCCGGCGCGGCCGGGCCGCTGGCCGGCGTTTTGGGAGTGCTAGTCGAGGCAAATGACCGGGCCGGGGGAGCACTCAGACGAGCACGTCCCACGGAGAAGAGGCGGCCGAGCCCGGCGGGTACGGGCCCGGAAGGGGTGAGCGTCGGCCGGAGACCGGGCGCCAGGGCAGCAGCCTGGCGCAGAGGTGTGCCCAGGCGGCCAAATGCTTGGCGGAGCATGGTGCTCTGTCTTGCGACTAGTGGTGTGGTATATGTGG